GGACCAGGGATGAGGCAGTACCCTACTTCTGGGGGAAGTAGGCTGGGTGTCATGTAGTGTCTTGTCCTGCGGCTCCTCCCTTAAGTCTGTCAGGACTTTGAGATCTAGAAGAAAGAGCTGCAGCCCACCACCAAGCAACTTGGGTTCTGGCCTCAGCCTGTCACCAACGTGCATGGTGAGCACTCAGCAAGCATCTGTTAGATCAACTTGGATCCCCGCAGGAGAGATGATTCTCAGGGAACACAGAGTGTTTGCCCAAGGTCATCCAGCATAACAGGCCTAGCCATGCTTGGACGGAGCCCACGAAGAGTCAAGTCCCTATTGTCTTCAGCTTTAGAGGGAGCGTCAGGGGCACTTGGTCTCTCTCAGCTTTCTGTCTTCCTCTGACTTGTCCATGCCCAGACACCAGCTCATGGGGGGCGAGGTGGGCGTGCGGTGGCAGCTTGAGGTCGATTCGCTGATTCCCTCTTCCAGCCCTTCTCATCATACTACACATTAGATCCCAGAACTTATTCATCTTATAATTCAAAGTTTCTACCCTTTGACTAATATCTCCCCCATTTCCCTCATCCCCCAGGCCCTGGCAACCATCCTTCTACTCTCTGGTTTATGAGTGACATTTTTAGATTGCACATATGAGTGAGATCATATGGTATTTATCTTTCTGTGTTTGGCTTATTTCATTTAGCATAATGCCCTCCAGGTTCATCCATGGTGTTGCAAATGGCAGGATTTCCTTCTTTTTTTATGGCTGATATATATATATATATATATATCTCACGTTTTCTTTATTCATTCATCTGTTGATAAACACTTAAGCTGTTTCCATATCTTGACTATTGTGAATCATGCTTCAATAAATAGGGGAGTTCTGATATCTCTTCAAGATACTGGTTTTATTTCCTTTAGATATGTATCGAGAGGTGGGATTGCAAGATCATATGGTAGTTCTATTTTTATTTTTGAGGAACTTTATACTGTTTTCTTGGGTTTAAATTGTCCTTTTTGAAAAGATCAACGAGGAAGAGAAATTGCAAAAGGGCCTCACGCAGTCTGGGGATGGCCATGGTGGTGGTGGGGTTACTTGCTGATGACATGCTTTTCATTTATTTTTTATTTTTTGCTCCAGCTTGTCCCTCCCTTTTCATTGTAGACCCCTCCCCCCACCCCAACACTTGCCGTCTCCTAGTACATCCCTCATTCCCACTTTACCTGCCTACTCCTCTTTCAGGGTCCTACTCAAACCAGAGCTTTTCCAGGCCTTCCCCCAACCTCACTCTTCCCCAGGTCGAAATCCTTGTTAGGCATTTGGAGCATTAGTGCTTCTCTTTCAAATCACATATCATGATGCTAATTTTATAGATATTTGTCTCATCTTTGATAATGGTCTGCCTCCCCACACTGGGCTGGAAGTGCTTGTATCCCCAGGGTTGGTTCACATGACCTGGCACACAGAAGCTGCTCTTTTGCTACAAGAATAAATGAATGAATGAATGAATGCATTTTCTAGTCTCTTGCTGGCCACCTTCTCTGGCCACTCATGTTCTGCTGTCTTAGATCAAAGGATGGCTTTGTTCCTCCTTTGAGTCCTTTAGTACTTCCTGCTCACTTTTTGGATTTGCTCATTTCCATAGACTTCACTTTTAGAACTTGATACTGGCTGGCTGCCTGTAGCTGGGGGTCCAGGGCTGGATTTTTTCTGTGGGTGTGCTTATTTCCAGACCAGACCAGAAGTGCCCCGAGGGCAGGGACTCTGCTTGGCACAGAGCCAGGTGAAAAGCTTTGCTAAATCTGAGAATGAATAGATGTGGATGAAAGGCAAGTTGCTCCAAGCTGTGGAGGCATCCATGATGGGGGAGCTTGGAAGGCATCCATGGAGAAGAACCTATGCTTCCAGGTTCCCTGGAAGGAGAATTCTTGCACCCCATAGTCAGCTGGTCCCTCTCATTATGATGGGCCCTGGATACAGCCTTACACAGTTTACAGTCCTGGGGGTGGGTGGGGAGAAATGAAGAAGACTGCAGCCTCAGTGGGAAGATGGAGCACTGATAAGGGAGGAGGGGAGCAAACTTCAGAGACAGCGTGGTGCAAAGGAACAGGCTGCTGGCATCTGGGCCATGGTGGTTGTCTGGGGTGGGCAGGGAGGGCAGAACAGCAACCTGGCAGGGTTCGTGTGATCCTTCCTCTCATTGAATTTCATCACCCTAGCAAGCCTCCCCTCTCAAAAAGTGGCTGCTCTGTGGCCTCCAGCAGCAGCCCCTGAGAGCATCCCTCAACTGTACCCTGAACTGGCCTGGGCTGCAGGGCCACCTTTGTCACTGCTTAGCTGTGTGACCTTGGGTGAGTCATGTCTCCTCTCTCAGCCATCTTTGTTCTTAGCCCCGACTTTGGCTTAGACATGTGTTTCCAGATGGGCAGGTTAAGTCCCCAGGAAGGGAAAGGATTTGATGAGCTCCTTGGAAAAGATTCTCTAGAATCGTCCCTCTTGCCTGCCTTGGAAGGGCCCTAAATCACATTATTAGGTGAAGCACAGGGCAAGGAAATATAACTCCCAGGGAGGTCCTATCTTCCAGTCTATTTCTTCCTCCTTACAAGGTAACAGTGCCCCCCAGGGCTCCAGGCTATGGAGAGGGAGTCAGAAATCTGGATGGGTGGGTGGCCATCCCTGTGGCCAAGAGATTGCAATTGTGTTGAACTGTTACTAGCAACATTCAACAATTTCCGGTCCTTCCCTGAATGTTCTCCACGGAAACTAAGAACTTGGCTGAATCCTAAGAACTGCCCTGAACTGATTTTACACGTGGAGAAGAAGGCAGGTCCAAGAGGGCATGGGACCGGTCCAAGGGCAGGTGACAGGTGACTTGAAGCCTCTAGGCACCTGGCCCCATGCAGCCTGGTTCCTCAATGGAGCCACTCCCACTCTGCTCGGGTGTGGTCCCACGACAGGCCATGCGGCCTGGCTGAGTGCCCACGGTGGAAGTACAGAAGACTTTTGTGCCAGGCTGGCACCACCCCCTGGCTGGCCCCTCCCAGGGGCCCGGTCAGCCTTTACCTGCAGGCATCCCCGCCAGCAGCTCGCGCGCTCCTCATTCCGTGCTCGCGTCCCGAGCTGCTCCCCGACGGCGCTGCTCCCGTCCCGAGCTGCTCCCCGACGGCTCAGCGCCCCGGAGCCTCGCACCACCGCACAAGGTGCCCTGCCCTGGGGCTGATCATTAACTCGGAGGCCGCATAAAGAGCGAGCCGCCTGGCCAGCAGGGACGCCTCGCGCCGCCACCATGGACAGTAACACCTTGAGCCCCGCGACCGCGACTTCCGCCTCCGCGACAGTCCCATCCTACCAGCGCATCCAGAATGCCGCCGACATCTCGGTCATCATCGTCTACTTTGTGGTGGTGATGGCTGTCGGGCTGTGGGTATGTGGGGGCCCTGGAACGCTCGCGGCGGGGGCGGGGGCCAGCGGAGCGCACGGAGGGGCAAGGGCCTGGGTGAACTCTGTCTAAGGAGGAGAAGGAGGATGGCCTTACGGGCATGTGCAGCGGCAGTGGAAGTGTCTTGGAAGTGCTTAGGAGGAGTTCAGGGGGCACTGTGTGAGGCGACGGGGTTGCGGGGGGCGGCTAAGCAAGAATGAGCAGAAGTGAGAGGGGTGCTGGCCAGCACTAAAGGGACCTGTGAGCAGAGGAGGGTGGGAGATTGGACAGGGAGGAGTAGGGTGTGAGGGGCAGAAGAGGGCACACTTGTAGCTGCAGAAAGGGTCCCCCGCTTGGGAGAGGAGCCCCAAGAGGTGACTACTGTCCTGCTTCTTATTCATCCGCTTTCGGTTGGTAAAGAAACAGTGTATGTGGGGAAGGACCCGAGCCTCTGCCAGCTGCAGGTGCTGTGGGGCAGCGTAAGGTAGAAGGGCTGCCCGGTGTCCCCTTCTTGGCAAAGGCTGATCTGATGGCCTTGTGCCATGGGATCCCAGGGGCTGGAGTGAGTGAGAGTTGGGAAAGGTGGTGGAGGAAGAGAAGGAGGAGGAGGAAGAAGAAGGGGAGGAGGAGGAGGAGGAGGAGGAGGAAGACAAGAGGGAAATGCATGGGGCTCTCCTTTGGGACTCTAGGGACACACTAAACCAGAGAAACTTGTTCTTAGTAGCCTGGAACTTGGAAATTTCACTTGTGACAGACTCCGGCACACCCAGCAACTAGAAGAGGAGGTGTTTTAAATGCTCAAATATTCCAGCTACTCTCAAAGGCTTTCCCAGGGGGTAGCAGGCCAGAAGGCTGCTGTGCCAGTAGGTTAAATCTTTTAACTTACAGGAGAAGAAGATAGATATTAACCCTTCCATGGCCACACAGAGTAGTTTTTACAGATAAAAAGAAGTGTTGATTTTTTAAAAAGTAATTGTAGAAACCAGATATGACTAAAAGCCTCCCTAAGTGTCACAAGGGGTCATTGCGGCTGATTCTTCTAAATACCCTCAGCTCTCCAGAAGTGTCCAACTAGGTGTTAGGACTCTCAAGTTAGGTACCAGCTGTGACATGGCTCCAGCCATGGGACCTTGGGTAACTTGCTGCAGCCTCAGTTTACTCAAATGTAAAATGGGTACAATCATACTTAGGTTGTTGTGAGGATCTGCAGAGATAAATCTGAAAGCTCTTTATAGACTCTAGCAGTCTTTTAAAATACTAGTATCATTTGCCCGTGAGAGTATGAGCCAGGCCCTGAATTATTTTTGTCCCTTTTTAAGTAAAATGGGCAAAAGTAGTCAGCTAGGTAGGACATCTTGACAAAAAGCCACTGGACAGAGCAAACAGGAATGTTAGTCCCCATTTTACAGAAGAAGAAATTGAAGGCCCATGTGGTTGTGATTTGCCTGAGGTTTTGATACATGGAATTATTTCTGGAACTCAGATATCTTGACTCTTGGTTTTCCATCGCACCAGGTACTTTGCTACCTGGTCTGCCTTCCTCCGCCAACCTCTCCCCAGCTTATAAGTGCTGGAGCCAAGATGTGAACCCATCATTTGCTAGCTGTGCCATACTGTCCCCTTTCTAGACCATCACTGATGACCTCCAGTCCCTTAACCAGTCTCATTTTAGCCTTGCCAGTTCTGCTGATTATGGTGTTTACACTTTTCAGATAGCTGTGAATCAGAATCACTTTTCCTGTTAAATGCTACTTAATGAGCCTGCTAGTATTTGTCCACATTTAATCTTCCCCCATTAGTCCGGGCCTCGGTACTCTGATTCATTTAACATGCTGGATTTCTTCCAGTTTATGTTTCTTTTTTTTTTTCCCCCCTATTGGGGCGTCAAGAGTGACGTGGTTCGGGGACAGGCATCCTGACGCCTGAATGATCTCTTGGCTGCAGAGACAGAGTGATCCAGGTCCATTGTGCTTCCTCAACTTAGAAAAGACATAGCTATATCCCTCAGTCCCCATCCCTATCTCTTCCAACATTATTTTGTTCTGTTATATCTGTTTCCAACGCAGCCTCATTTGATCGTATTGGTGCTTGAGCTTATTACTTCTTCAGTATGTATTTCCATTCCACTCCCCCACCCCCCCCACCAATTTTCAGTTTGTTTTTTTTTGGAGATTTTGTATCCTTTTAGGCTGAATCTTGACTTTATTCTTTCTGGATAATTCTCAGGGTTATTCAGCTACTGTCCGTGGGCCAAATCTGGCCCATAGCCTGATGCAAGGCCCATATAAATGTTTTTTACACTTTTAAGGGGTTGTACAAAACTAAACATAAAAAGAATATGAGGTAAAGAGCATATGTATGCTATAAAGCCCAAAGTATTTACTACCTGGCCCTTTTAACAGAAGAAACTTACTGACTGCTGCCTTATGCAGTTATTTGCACTAGTAACACACTTGGGTGCTTGAGAGCAATGGCCCCTAAGGGAGCCCAACCTTTTCATTTTACAGATGAGGGTCAGAGAGAGTGACTAGAAGTCATTCAGATGAATCAGCACCAGAGCTGGGACTAGAACTCAGGTCTTATAATCGTCTTTGCACTATCTTACCCTCCCGTTTCCTTAGATATTATCCTCTCCAATAACACCCTCCCCATGGGCTGTACCACCGCTCACATTGCTGGGTCGGTGTCCTGGTGGTGCTGAATTTCTTCTTTCTTCACGTATTTTCATAAAGGAAGCGCCTACAGTTCATCTAGTTCGACTCTCATCATCCTATGCTGGAGTCTCTTCTTTAAAGCACTTGACAAAATCATCTTGATGAGTTGTCAACATTTTGTTCAAATACTTCCAGCATGAACTCTCCCCAGTGGCACCATTTCCATCCCTGGACAGCTCTGACAGTGAGGAACTGGTACTGAGCTCAGATCTGATGTTCTGGAGCTTCTCCTTCTGCTGCGTCTGGTTGTGCCTTATTCAGACCAAGCGTGTCTGTCCTACTTTACGCGACAGTAGGCCTCACTCGAGTCTTCTCTTCTCCAGGCCCAACATCTCGACTTTCTTAAGCTTCAAAAGTCCGAAGTAACTCCCTCTTCTATCTCAATGATATTTGTATTCTTTTGAGAAAACACATGGGGGTCAGTAATTGTGCTTTTATTGGGCTCCCACGGCTTGCAATTATGAAATCATTCTCTTCTAGTTGCAGGGTACGCAGGCAAATTTAACACCATGGTTTACAAAGAGGGGTCCAGAATCTTAAGAGTTTTCCTTCGAGCATCCCTTGCTTATGGAGACAGTGTCTTTCTATTTGTGGGGAGTGAATAGCAGGGAGGAAGGAGGCAGGGTGCAGGAGCTGCCATGTGTGCCCCAGGAAGCACCTACTGAATGCTGCTGACAAATGGCTTGCAGAATGCCTGCCTTGCGGGTAGGGTGGAATGTTGTCCATTTTCAGAAGGAGTGTTAAGGGTGGGACGAGGGGAAGAATGGAGCCCGAGGGAAATGAAAATCCCATTTATTTAACTTTTTACTGAATGTGCAACATGCACAAGGCATTATACTAAGCATTATGAGAGATTAAAAATTTGTAAAGTGATCACCACAGTGATGCTAATTAATATATCTATCACTTCATGTGGTTCCCTTTTTTTCGTGGTGAGAACACTTAAGATCTACTCTCTTAGCAAATTTAACTACACTATACAATATTATGAACTACAATCACCATGCTGTACTTTAGATCTCCAGGACATATTCACCTTATAATTGAAACTTTGTACCTTTGACCGATATCTTTCCATTTCCCCCACTCCCCAGCTTCTGGCAATGAATATGAATATCAAAACATCACATTGCATACCTTAAATATATACAATTTTTATTTGTTAAATGTACCTCAATAAATCTGGAAAGAAAATTTATAATATGATCACAAAAAGTAAAAAAATTGTAAGAGGCATGTACAAAGTATTGATGGAGTTCTTCAGATGGTCAAAGGAGAGAGAGATTAATTCTGTTTGTGGAGGGAAGGAGGAGACTTCCGTGGGGGTGGGGGGTTGTCAGGGGAAGGTGGCATCTGGAGGGTTCTTGAAGGGTAGGAACACGGGGTCTGGGCTTGTGGAGATAAGGGGTTGGCGTTCCAGAGAGGAAAAGCCCTGCAATAGACACTTATTTCTGTTTCATTCCTAAGCACTGCAGAGGCCCCCAAGTGTATGTTCTGTGGGAGGGAGGGCACTGCCAGTAGTCCAGAAGGATCTGAGCTTTGATCTTCCTGGCACTGCCTAGCACACAGGAATGTGCACCAAATCTATGATTGTTTGGATGCATGGCCCTGCTCCCTAAAGGACTAAGTCCAGTGCATTTTCATAGTCTGAGCAGGCAGCAATGTGCTATCTGTAGCATACATGTTTGCCAAATGAATGGTGAGTTTCTCAGTGCCTGAAATGTCACCATCAGAGGTTAATTCCTTTGGCCCAGTGATGCTCTTCAGTCTCAAAGGTCACCTATGAAAATGCAAACACCTCTGTCAGAGCTAAGCCATTATTTGCCACTAGCATTTTCAGGGAGATTAGCCAATTTCAGCTAAGGAAAGTCCGCTGAGATAGAGAGAGGAAGGGGAAAGGATGCCAGGGGCAGAGATGCTGTCCCTGTTTTGTGCTGGAGGACGGGGCCTGGGCCTGAGCTGGACCAGGAAGAAGCTGAAGGTTCTGAGGCAACATTCCAAGGGAACTGTGAGAGGGGCTGGTCGTTATTTATTGAATCTTGTCCTCATAACCCTTCAGTGTCTCCCTACTGCCTATGGAATAAGGCCCATACTTTTCAGCCTGGCATTGGAGGGTCTGCAGTCTGCTCCCACTTTTCATCTCTCTCCTCATTCATACACCTCAACCAGGTTCATCAGACAACACCACTCACAGTTCCTTCCTCCCCGCACTGGTGTGGCTCTACCTGTGGGTCATGGCTCATGCTGTCCTCGAAGTCTGAAATGTCCTTTCCTTCTTTTCTCTGAGTAGTAAATCCTCTTCTTTCTTCAAGACTTGCTGAGATGCTGACCCCTCTGTGAAGCCTTTTCTGACACCGCAGTCAAAAGGAAACTCCTCCTTTCTCTCTATTTATAATAATAATCATTCCCCAATATTCATAATATTTGAAAAGTAATGTTTCCAGCAAGTTCATCCCCAGAGGAAAGTTTTGAATTGAGTTTGAATGTTTAGTCTTTTATGTAATATTAGTAATAACGCTGTGCATTCCTATAGCTCCCTCCCTCCTTCCTTCCTCCCTCCCTCCCTCCCTCCCTTCTTTCCTTCTGTAATTCTATGTTCCTTCCTTCCTTCCTTCCTTCCTTCCTTCCTTCCTTCCTTCCTTCTTTCCTTCCTTCCTTCCTTCTTTCCTTCCCTCCTTCCTTCCTTCTTTCCGTCTTTCCTTTCTTTGTAACGGGACTATTGAGATATTCACATACGGAATAGTGCTTTTAAAAACTAGAATATTTTATTAGGCGCCTTGAGTATGCTTGTAAAAAAGCCACAGATATTTCCATTTTTCCTGTTTAACGGAGAAACAAAGAGATCCAGGTGGCATGACTTGCTCGAAGCCACACCGTAAGCTCATTGCAGAGTTAGTTAGCACTAGGGCAAGCTGTTTAAACCTGAGCCTCAGTTTCCACGTCTGTCAAATGTAGGTCTCTTCCTCCTTCATCTGAGTGTACTAGAGCTCCAGGGGAGTAAGGAATGTGGAAGTGTTTCAGAAAGTGAAGCGGGCAGAAGAAAATGTGAATATATGGGGAAATGTGTCCTATTGGCTGGCAAGATCACTCTGTTCTGGTTTTCTATTAAACTTTTGACCCTCTCCTCCTCAGGCGATGTTTTCCACTAATCGTGGGACTGTTGGAGGCTTCTTCCTGGCAGGACGAAGTATGGTGTGGTGGCCGGTAAGTCTCCACTGAAATATTGTTTGTTTAACTATGATATTTGCTGTCAGAGGCTGTATTCTTCTTGGGTTGGGTTGGGTTGTGGTGACTCTCCCCTTCTGCCTTAGTTCCCTGATGATGGGTCTCCTGCTCACCAGGTCTCCCGGGCACCCTCTTCTCTTGTGCATTTGTGAATAGCCTTTAAATAAATGATGTTTGGAATCCTTCAAGGGATAAATAGAGGAAGAGACTGCACAGGGCGGGCAAGGAAGAGAAGCAAAAAGAGCTCACAGATCGAGGAGATCTTGGGCAAATCTGAGCTTCCACTTCTGTATCTATAAAATAAAGATGGTAATATTTACTTTCCAGGAGTATTATGAGAAGGGGACACCTCTCATGAGGTGCAACTCAATAAACAGTAGCTCTTTTGCTACCTTTTTGCTGTTTCAAGTCCCACAGAGAAGAGACTTTATCTGTCCTACCCTGGGAGCCTAATGCAGAAGGCCCTCGATAAATATTGTTGAATGGATGGAGGATGAACCTCCTGCTGTTCCCAACTACAGTTTTACTTCTGTCTTGGTGGGTTTTATATTTTGTATGTGTAAGAGGCACTTTCTCTGACACTTGTATGGGGGCAGAACTATCCCAAGCAAAACATATGTGGATGGATGGAAGAGAAACTGGGACGTCCTTTCCATTTTATCAGCGCAGGGCTCTGCCTGGTTTATTAGTTCAGCTCAATGACCATTTCAGTCCAGCGTATTCACAGAAATGGCTGGTTGACCAAACTGGACAAATTGCATAATTTCTTGGGCTTAAGAGACAAGCAAGACTGGCTGCTGAAAGAGAGGGTTGTGAAGCATATATACAATGAGGAGAGAGTGACAGCTATGAGTTGATTGGAGGAAGAGAAACAAGAAAGTAAAATCACTGTCATGTGTAGCACAGAGAGAAGTTATGAGGAAATCATGATACATACTGTGTTTGGCCTTTGATTTGTTGTTTTGAGATGGATTTTAATCTCTGGCATCTTCACAATTGCTTGGGTCACTCCTGAAGTCATTTTTGCTTTATCCTTAAGGTGGCCAAGAATACTGGGCAGAGGCTGATTTCTGTGATGGGTCCCTCTTGGTGGTCTGTCTTGACACCACGTGTTTGAGTAAAGGCACACATATTCTGATGCCTCCTTTCTGTTCTTCATCAAGGCTTTTGTCTTCTTGTGCTTTGGACTTTAGTGATTTCCTAAAAGCTGGTGTCGACTAAGCAGCTCTGATCACAAAGTTCAAGCCAAGGCTGGCATGGTCTAGAACTGTGCTGTCCACTATGGTGGCCACTAATCACATTGGCTATTTAAATTACAATGACATAAAATTAAAAATCTCTTTCTCCAGTCAAATTAGTCATATTTCAAGTGTTTTGTAGCTGCATGTGGTGGCTGCCATATTGGAACATTTCCATCATTGTAGAAAGTTTTATTGGACAGTGCTGTTCTACAGATTTCAGAGCCAAGTCTGGCATGAGATCTTAGCAGAACTGAGAGATGTTGAATTAGATAGCTGAATAGGACCTTATAGTTTACTTTAGTTATTTAGAAAATAGTCCATCCCCACCCTATCTGATACTTTAGTGTCCCCTACAGTAAACCTGCCAAGTGCTTATCCAGCCTGTTTGCATCCATCCCACTATTCTCTTCCCCCCAAAAAAAAAAGAAACTTGTATCTCTTCATGTAAAATTTCTATGGCTGATTTACTGGGGATAAAAGCTTAGCTTCCAAGCTCTGAGTCTTGGAGAAGCCAATGAGACAGGGAGGCATGGGGCAGAACCACCCTTAGGAGATGTGCATTTTGGGCTAGGCTTGGGAACACCTCACACCTTTACCAGCAATGACGTCTCTGTTCCTAATGGTGCCCAAGTGTGGGTCTGGGCTGAAAGTTGGTTGGTGAGAGGAATTAGCCCCACCCAAGGCAGGTAGGGTTCAATGGTACATGTGAGGTTTCCTATGAGTGGTGTTTTTCTTACTCATGTCTCAGGATTGGATTATTCTAACCAACAGAAACATGGCATCATTCTTTTGTGCAGAAGTCACTGCTTCCTTGATGAGGCTGAAATTCAATTTTTCTTCCTCCAACATTAGTTTCCATCTAAGGCTTCATAAGATTACAGAATGGTTTCTAAACCTGCTCATGTATCAGAATCACCTAAGAGTGCTTTTTAAAAATACTGATTCCTGGGCCTCACCCCAGATCTACGAAATAAAAAAATTGTGGAAGAGGGCCCCAGGAATCTGCATTTGAAAAAAAGATTCCCAGATGCTTTTGATGATAGGCAGATTTGAGAATCACTGGTTTGGGTAGACTGTTATCTATTTGGTCAGATATACTGAAAACATCATCATCTAGTAGGGATGCTGGGTAAGGAGATTCTTGAATGGGGAAGTAGTGACCTCGCAGACACTCCTAACTCTAGAATTTTCTAGAATACTCTAATTCTAGAAAATTCTTTGGTAAAAGGACCATGGGCCTTGAGGTCAACATATCTGACCTTCTACATTTACTAGTTGTGTGACTTTTTGAAGAAATCACTGAACTTCCCTGAGCCTCAATTTCTACCTCTTTAAATTAGAAGAATCATACGCACTTTGGAGGGTTCTTGTCAAGATTAAATAAGATAATGCATGTACAATACTCAGCACTGTGCTTGGCAGGTGCTTAGTAAATGGGAACATTACAATATGGCAGAAAGGCCAGAAGTGCCAAGGCGACCACTGAGTTAGCATTTGTCTGGTGTACAACACTTAGCATTATGCAGTAGACGGAAACAAGAATTTATGCGACGCTATTATTGCTGCTTCACTTAAATTTAACATTTTGATTGACTGTGTGAATAAATGAACCTGATTTATATATATATTTATTTACACTACTGTGAACCATCAATTCCAGCTATACAACTACATTTTAACATCTTTGAAATTGGCTTATGTGTCATAATCCATCAGTGGCATGCCATAGTGTTAGTGGCAGTGTTTTTCCTTTCTTTGTATTACATGGTATGTCTTACAATAGTTGGTCTTTTAGATTCTGTAAGATAAGGTTACATTCTAAAGTAGTGGTTTTTAAAAATATGTCCATGACAACCTTTAAGTGCTCCAGAAATGCCTCAGGGACTGCCTTCCCCATCCTCCTCAGCAATCTGACTTTTATTTATTTTCTAAAAGGGAAATCTGCTAAGATTTTGTTTGAGAACATGGTTCTTCTGACTTACAAAGTTTAAAAACTGCGAGTTTCATAGAAAAATGAGCATAGCGATGTCTATATGAAAATTTAAAATGGTTTTAAAACACTATTGTGATGCACACTTGAAAGAAGGAGTCAAAGGGAAACATGGCATGCAAGAAAATGCAAATTTAAGTACTTTTTCTCCAAAACTAAAAGCTAGTTTAAAGTGTATCAAACCTGTAACTCTACATTTTCCTTCATATCAAAATACAGTCAGTTCAAGCCTCTCTGTTGGTCTGGAAATTCATAACCGGAATATCAGTTCTCACATGTGCTGGCCTAGGGGGAACATTACAAGGCCACAGGCTTTTTGGAGCTGACGTCTCTCCTAGCTTTTTGGCTGAAGCAGAAACCTTGTAATGCAGGGGTCCCCAACCCCTGGGCCGTAGACTGGTACTGGTCCATGTCCTGTTAGGGACTGAGCTGCACAGCAGGAGGTGAGTGGTGGGCCAGTGAGCAAAGCTTCATCTGTATTTGCAGCTACTCCTCAGTGTGAGCATCACTGCCTCAGCTCCACTTCAGATCATCAGGCATTAAATTCTCATAGGAGCATTGGTCCCTGGTGCCAAAAAGATTGGGAATCGCTTCTCTAATGGGACCCTTTGCCCCCTTCACCTGCCTTTACCCCTACTTTGTGTTATAGGAGGAGTGAACAACCAGAGAAGCTGCAGAAAGAGAGTATTAGGGGATTTTAGGAAGGGAGGACTTGGCGTTGACCTTGGATTGACGCATCCCAGGCCTGGAGGACTCGGGTAGTCACACCTGAAAAAAGCGGGAGGAAATCAGAGCTTGTAAAATCTGAAAGACAATTGGACATAAGAGAGGCCAGTCGAGGGCATTACTGGGGGCTTTGGGAATTTTGAAAGGAGGAGTTACAACCTATAACAGGTGAAGATCCAGGAGCCCTGGAAAAAGACCCTGTTTTAAAAACATTAATGAGGCCAAGAGAGAAAAATGGTTTGTGCCTTGGCCTGGGGATGAAAGTGAGGGATAATCGGAGAAGAGGAGCAAGGATTCCAGGGCTGGGTTACAAGAGGAGTCAGCTTACACAGGAAGCCAGCCAGGTATGCCTACAGAAGCCTGAGTCACACGTGGGGCAAGCCAAGCCAACTGAGTAACATGAAACCATGAAGCCATCTATACCTTTCGTAACTGTGGGCTGGTTCATAGCCCAGGATTTCCTTTTTCTATGGTACTGTGGTGTGGCACCTTTACGAATAGGCTGCCTGTGTGCTGTAAAGATTATTTAGGGTTATGGAAGATGTGAAAGCAGGAATTTGAGCCTAGAAGGGGAAATTCCCCATGCCTTGGCCAGTGGTACCAGAAATTACTCAGAGAGGTGGGGTTCCAGGTACACCGCTGCCTGGAGAATTCTTGTTTTGGAGGAACATTTGGTCACACATACCAGAGCCAGCTCCATAGGAGTGTCCTGGTAGGGATTGAACCAACTCCTCAAACCCCCTTCAACATAGAAGTTAGCACTCCAAAGGGAGTGAGGACTTCACACGGAACCAAAAGACTCAGATTGTCTCAGCTTTGTGACATCCAGTAAATTATTAGCCTCTCTGAGTCTCAGAGAATCTCCACTGTACTAGGAGACGGATTGAAGAGCTCAGAGACTCTCCCAGGAATAAAATTCTAATATTACACACCACAGAGGAGGGAACAAGCATGAGGGAAGTGGGTGTGGGCATGCTAGCCAGTCTGTTGCCAGTGAGGGGCTTGCAAATGAAACAGCTATG